TCTGCTTATCTTTCGCCTTCTTTCTTATACCACTAAAGCTGTCGCTTATCTATTCAGCAACTACTTTGTAAGCCTGCATATGTCTATATGAAGATCTTGGAGCAAAGCTTTTTACACATTCGCAGTCCGTCTGCCGCTCCGAATAAACGCTATACATTTTAATATAACCTATTCGTGCGTTATTAATTATAAATATAAGGGTGGCACATTTGTTGTCTTCCCCACAAACAGTCCTAGGAAATCTATATATAGCTTCTGGAAAAATCGTTCCGATTCTGACGGTTTGGCAAGTGGGGAGGATAATTGTGTGCTCTATAAGCCTTGCATGTTTCACAAGAGTTCACACACTTCTTGACGTCATCATGCTCTTTTCTGAGGATCTCAGCCACTAACTCTTTTGAAGTTTACAGCTTCCAATTGAACTTATTATGGACCGGTTCGCCCACTGCACGCTCGGCCTCTCTATAGACCCCACCAGAGAAATCAGCACTTTTAAGAATAGGGGCTTTGGTTAACCTTGTCTTCAAGTCCTCAAAAGTATTTAATGCTTGGTCAGTAAGAACCTCCCTACTCCTAAGAACCTCCTCAAAGACCTGAGAGTCTTGGGCACGGAAAACTCAGCAATGGCGGCTATATTCTCTGGATCCATACGGATTCCGCCATCTCCCACAATAAACCCCAGGTATTTCACCCTTTTGGAACAAAACTTACTTTTTCCGATGTTAATCGTAAGTCCAGCTCGCTCTATGTGAAACGCTACCTCACGTAAAAACTTGAGATGCCCTTCCAAAGAGTCATCTAAGGAGACAAATACTTCGTTACGCATCTAAAGGGGTATAACCTTGTCCATTAGTCTGAACATGTTTTGCGTGGTGTTACAAAGCCCAAATGGAATGACCTTAAAATGATAAAGCGGTTGTCCTGGCACCGTAAAAGCTGTCTTGTCCCTCGAATCTACCTCCAAGGGAAGCTGCCAATAAGCGTCTTTCAAACCGAGACTGTTTTCAAATTCGGACTCGGCAATCGGCTAAGTATCTCGCTAATTTTTGGAAATGGATAGACATCCTATCCAGAAATAGGCGTAATTTTCCTGGCTTCTGCACTATGACTAAGGATGAAGACCACGAACTATCAGATTCTTTTATCACTCCTAGCCTAATAATTCGGTCTATTTCCGCATAAATTAGCTTTTCCATTGCGGGAGACACAGGATAATGCCTTTGTTTTGGAGGTTTAGCTTGACATACATCTATTGAATGGGATATTAAATTGGTCTTCCCCAGCCCTTCATGAGCACGTTTGATAACAGAATTTTTTCTACGTCAGACAAGTCATGCTCTATAGCTTGTAAGTCTAATTCAGACACATTTGGTAAATTCGGTAACAAGTCTAATTTGCACCAAAAATCGATCCCTAAATACAAATCTTGTTTTAAGTTGGGACAATATGTACAATATGTATGTATGTCGTATATATATTTCTTCAGTCCTTCGGTCGAAGACCACTGTAAGACAAACTTTTCCCACAGTTTCTTGCCTATGCCCGTCAGCGGTGCTCACTTTGGAATATACTTTCTTAAATGGTATGCCCTCTTCTGAAATCTGCTGAGCTAAACTACCGCCTAAGCAGCTAACAGCCGCTCCCGAATCTAAAGCCCTTTCACGAGACGCTGAAGTAATTTCACTGCCACAAATGGGCGCGGATCCTGTGAACAATTTTCTATAGAGTTTATTTCCTGAATATGCCCTTTTAATTGTCTTATCTCATTCAAAAGTCTTGAGTTCGTTGAGCGCTACGGGAGTTAGTTTTTGTAGCCTCGACGAAATCTACTTCATTATTATACCCGTTACTCGTAGAGTAAAAGGGTATACTAGATTCGTCGGAAAGTATGTAACAGGCAGAAGGAAGCGTTTCCGACCCCATAAAGTATATATATTCTTGATCGGGATCACTAGGCGAGTCGATCTAGCCATGTCCGTCTGTCCGTCTGTCTGTCCGGATGAACGCTGAGATCTCGGAAACTCGGAAATAAGAGCTAGGCTATTGAGATTTGGCGTGCAGATTCCTGAGCTTCTTACGCAGCGCAAGTTTGTTTCAGCAGAGTGCCACGCCCACTTTAACGCCCACAAACCGTCCAAAACTGTGGCTCCTACAGTTTTGATGCTAGATATAAAAATTTTAACTGAAATGTATTGGTCTCGTCAATACCTATGGATTGATCCAAAAAAAAATTTGCCTCGCCCACTTTAACGCCCATAACGCTTAAATCTGTCTACCGCCGGTAGGTGGCGCATTTTAATCTCGCTTTGCTGCTTGCATATCTCCATTTAGCTAAGTAACGGGTATCTGATAGTCGAGGTACTCGAATATAGCGTTCTTCCTTGTTTTTAAGGACTCCAAACGTTTTTGTTTTCGGTGGGGTCTAAGCTGGAGATCGTTGTTTTTCCACTGGGCAATTCTTATAAAGATACCCTTCTTTATGGCAATTCCAGCAGACCACGTTCAGCGCCTCTATTTCTGCAATAATTTCTACTTCACTGACTTCTTCTGTGCCAAAATCCCCAATTCCGCCACATCTATCTTGAACGGAACCCTCTTGGCGTATCCATGAGATCTCTTGACATCTTCTAAAAATGTTTGCCTTTTGCGACATACTTCACGAAAGTGTGATACACAGGATATGTCGACATTTAAGATTTCGTGTCGAATTCCTGGCCTCAAATTATTTCTCAAAGTCCCCACCAACTTGCTATTCGACAAGAACCTTTCCATTTCATCGAGAAAGACATTGATGGCATTGAAGAAATTATTAAAAGATTCATTGTTTTCCTGCTTCCTTTGCCCTATTAACTGTTCAACGTCTCCATCATCCCTTTCATCCTTATACTGCTTACGCAAGGCTGAACACAATGATTCCAAATTGATTTGCCTGACTATTTTGTGGTGTCTCCAAAAGAAATCCTTCACCTTCACATTAAAAGCGAAGCAACATTCTTGCACATGTCTTGTCATGGCTTCTGCCTGATAAATAAAATTATCTACCCGTACCCGAAAATTTTATTTTCTAACCGTTCATAATCGGACCAATCTTCTCCGGCCGCCTTGAGAGTTCCGAAGATAGAATTCCTAAATTTCTCTGAAAGGAATAATTATTGAAGTGATTTTCCTGCCATGTCTAAGTATCGGGTTGTCTTACTCTATCGTCGCAAGCAATTTTCTACATTAGTCTCAATTTACGGATTAAGTTTTTCAGTCAGTGCTGAGAGAATGTTATTCTGCATGACTTGCAGCTGACCTTGAATTGTGGGCTGGCTTGCACTGGCTTGGAAGTGTTTGAGCATCCTGGAGTTTTCATATTTGCTGTCGGCAACCCGTTTTCATCCATCTGACCTGGAGTCTTTGGAAGCACTTTGGTGACGCAGACAAAGTTGCAAATGGAGCATCTGGGATTGGCCGCAAGTTGTGTCCTAATGCAATTGTTGTGAAAAGTGTGTTTGCAACGGGTTTATAGCATTCCTATTCTGATTTGATTGGACTATTACACAAGGGGCAGTTGGCTTTTCCTGGCCATTTCAGTTAAAATTTTTTTATCATGCATGAAAATTGTGGGCGCTACAAGTTGGGCGTGGCATATTCGCGTAACAAACTAGCGCTGCGCACAAGGCTAAGTAATTTAAATTTGAAATCCAAATTCTCTATCTTTGATAGTTTCCGAGATATCTGCGTTCATATTTACGATTTTTTGAAGTTTTGGCCCGGTTTTTGGGTGTTAAAGTGGGCGGGGCAAACTTTTTTTCTAGTTCAATCGATAGGTATTGATGAGAACAATACATTTAAGTTAAAATTTGTATTCTAGCCTCAAAACTGTAGGAGACTAAGTTTTGGGCGGCTTGTGGGCGTTAGAGTGGGCGTGGCACCCTGCTGAAACAAACTTGCGCTGCACAGGAATCTCAGGAACCTGCTTGACTAATTCCAGTATTGTAGCTCTTATCGTTACCGAGAACATTGCGTTCATACGGACAGACGGACAGATGGATATGGCTAGATCGTTTTGGCTAGTGATCCTGATCAAGAATATATATACTTTATGGGGTCGGAAACGCTTCCTTCTGCCTGTTACATACTTTCCGACGAATCTAGTATACCCTTTTACTCTACAAGAAGCGGGTATAATAATTATAAATATTGTATATAAAAGCGCTTAAAAAAAATAAGTGAAGAACAAATTGATAATATATGTGTTTTAAAAGATAATAATAATAATATTAATAACAAAAAAGGAAGTAAACTTCGGAAAGCCGAACATTGTATAACTTTACAGTTATAATTATTAATTTTAATTCGAAGTTCTTAAAAATACAAAAGATGATATTCCCAATATAAGATCATATGTCAAAAAACACCGAAGCTATAATTTGTTTCATATTATTTTCCTACCAATTTTCCGATCGTTCCTATGGCAGCTATATGATATAGTCGTCCGATTTTGATAAAATTTAATTCGAAATTCAGAAATAATTAAAAAATGTTATTTCCAAGCGTAGGAGGTTATATGCTAAAAAAACACCAAAGATATAATTTTTTTAATTTTTTTGTCCGATTATTCCTATGGGAGCTATAAGATATAGTTGTCTGATCCGGCTGGTTCCGACTTATATACTACCTGCAAAAGATATAAGACTTTTGGGAAAGTTTCAGCCCGATAGCTTTAAAACTGAGAGACTAGTTTGCGTAGAAACGGACGGACAGACGGACAGACGGACATGGCTAGATCGACTCGTCTAGTCATGCTGATCAAGAATATATATACTTTATGGGGTCGGAAACGTCTCCTTCACTGCGTTGCAAACTTCTGACTGAAATCAATATACCCTCTGCAAGGGTATAAAAAGATGGCCGTCACCCGCTTTTTTTTGGGAAAACAAAATTTTTTTGTCAATTAAATACAACATTTTTTTTAAATTTTTTGTTATAAAAAGATCAAACTTGTTTTAAAAAACTATTTTTTATTATTTTTTATTTTCAATTGTTTAGTGAAATTTTTTTTAACAATTTGAACGAATTTAATACCAGATCAATTAACATTTAACCATTGCTTAATGTTGCTACATGTTGAACTTTTACAATCAATACGTAATTTTTAAGTATCAGGTTGACTTGCAGCATATCTCTCTTATCAAAGTCCACCATGTACGGATGTCAGAACTCAGCACTCCAGAAATCCCTCAGTTTCCTTAGATTACATCCGCGGGCCGGCTGTTTGGAACATCTTTGTTCTCCGAATTCAAGCCTATGCCAAGGAAAAGGGCCTTCCGGAAGAAAATGCTGCCCATGATCGTGACCCAATTCAAGAAATTCAAGATAATGTATACCACCGGACAATAGGCGCATGGCCCTGGACGAGTACATCGTAATAGATAGGCGAATAAAGTTGTACAGGGTACACGAGACCGTGAAGGCAATCATAGCAATAATCAAAGGCAGATTCTCCTTCAGATCCTCAAGCAGATCACTCCAATCGTCGAAGACAGTACGCGAGCTCTCAGTAAAGGGACTCACGGTTGGCAAGAAGTGCATGCAAATGGCCAAAATCGAGGTGATGGCTAACCCAAAAATTCCTTGCCATCCGGCAGCTTGCAAAGGTGCCACATTCGAGGTGTTGAGCTCTTTCTCCTCGTAGACATACTGCAGACCGTTCAAAATTTCTGCAATGATGATGAGCAAGTCGCCGGTCAAGATGGCTTTGTGCTCCGTGTACGGCAATGTGACCTGGTCGTAGCTGACGCGCTGAACGTCTTGACTGACGATGCCCAACAGGCCGCAAATAATTACGAAGAGGGCCGGCCAGTGGCGTCCGGTAAGCGAGTGGTTCAAAAACATGGTACTGAAGATGCCCGCGAAAATCAGAGCCGCGCCCCTTATCATCTGGAATCTGAAGGCGTTACTCAAGTAAAGTCCGGTGAACAGCAGAATAGAGGCTACCGTATCCAGCACCGTGGGAAAAGGGTGAAGACCACCGGGTTCTGGAATCCATGCAGTTTTCCATCGCTGCCAATCACCTGCTGCTGATTGGACCACTTCACTATTAGAACGTTGAAGGTGCTGATAAGCCCAAAAGTCGGCGACAGGTAATGACGAGGCTCTAATTCCCGTCGGAAAATTAGCGGCGAAAAATTCCCGTCTTGGGTGCAGTTCTCGCTAATTCGATTTACAAATACTGAAGTTCTTTGTGCAGTTCGCAATTGTAAGCGCGCAGCAACAAAGTGCGGCCAGGTTGGTAATTGACTGCCCTTCCACAGCTCTATGTAACTGGCTCAAGCATTGGGTTAACTATTCAATTATATTCCAACTTTTGAGATGAGTAATGTGTATTAGTTCGATTTTACGGGACTTTTGTTTTTTGTAATTTTATATTTTATTTCCATTATATTTCTTAAGTAAAATACTAATATCAATTATATCTACACTCAGGGAAAAACATCGTGCTAAAAACAAGTACAAACAGCCTTGATTTAAGAAAAATTGCATGCTTAACATTTAAGAACGTTCGTGCTCAAAAAATACTCATAATAATTATTAACTGTATAATAATTCCAAACTGTTTATTCTGAAAGTACTCGGTATATAAGGCGCATAAATTAGACAGTGTTAATGCCCGTGAGCGGCAATTCGTAAGTAAACTAAAAATATTAATATTATTTATATATCTCGTCTATTTCGTTTCAGTTTCCAATACTTATTTCTCTTACTAGCATAAAATAAAAATTTTTAATTTTTAATTTCATATTATTTATGTATTCATTTAAGAAATATTCGTCCTTAAATCTTCAGGCATGATTTCTTTCTTTCTTTCTTACTTTATTATTAGTTCAAATATGACTTGATTTAAGAATTATTCATACTTGATTCAAGACCGAAAGGTTCTTAAATCTAATATTTTCGGTCTTGAAAATTCGTGCTCGAAAGTAGTATTTTGTTCTCGCGTTCTGTATTTTCCATGCTTGGCGAAGTTTTAACACCGAAAATACTAGGTTCAAACACGAAATACTTGATTTTTTTTCTGAGTGTACGTTAAGTAATTGAAATGCTGGAGTACAATTTTTTTTCGACCATTCGTTTTTTTATTACAAAGATAATTGCACACTGTTTTTATTTTAAGATAACATATAAATACACAGTTTTATATAAACAAGTATGTAGGATATGCACGTTCTGGCACATTTTTATACCGAAAGTCGATTCTGGCACACTTTTTATATCGGTTCTGGATATTTTTATACCGGAGGTCGATTCTGGAAACGCTTTTTATACCGGAAGCCGATTCTGAAACCCTTTTTATACCGGGTTTGGCACATTTTTATACCGGAAACGATTCTGAAATACTTTTTATACACTGATAAAAAAAATGGAATAGTAAATTTAAATATACACCTATTCCTCATCAAATATCTTATATTTACATACAAATTTATTAATTAAAATGTATTTAATTTTTATTATCACGTTTAAATAGGTTTCAAATTAAAATATTAGTTTCTGCCCTGTTCGTTTTTAAGTGCGGTAACATTTAAAATAAATATATAAATTTTAATCTGACTTCTTTTACAAAAAGATTTATTTCATAAACTGTATACTCATGTTTGTATATACATCTGTTCAGACCTAACAATATACATGTGAAAATTTTTAAAAAGAAATTGATGTACATTAAAGTAAATTGACATACATATGTAAATAGGAATGTAGATGGGCAGAAAACAAACGAAGGCACTAAGATAATTTTTAGCGGTTTTCTTTTGTTCTATTCTACACACATTCATTCTTTCGCGTTTGCTTTGATCAATGAATCCACTTCTTCAGCACTAAACGACACGTGCCATTGAAAAGTTGCAGCCGAAGAAGTACATATGTACATATGTATGGCCGAGATCAGTTCCTAGAAAAAGACAAGCCGCGAGATATGTTCTTTTTGGCTTTGAATGTTGCTGCCCACATACACACTTATTTTATTAAAGAAACTTACGTACATATGTATGTATGTATATTTGATTCCGCTTCTTCAACACAGCAAGACGCTTGCCATTTTATAATTGCAGCCAAAGAAGTAGGACGTGTCGGAGCTTTGTTAAAAAAAACAAAGAAGAACGCTATAGTCGAGTAACTCGACTATCAGATACCTGTTACTCAGATAAAGGAACCAAAGGAAAATGGAGATATGCGAGATTGAAATGCGCCACCTATCGGCGGTAGACAGATTTAAGCGTTATTGGCGTTAGAGTGGGCGTGACAAATTTTTTTTGGATCAATCGATATGTATTGACGAGACCAATACATTTCAGTTAAAAGTTTTTATCTAGCATGAAAGTTGTGGGCGTCACAGGTTTGGGCGGATTGTGGGCGTTAAAGTGGGCGTGGCAAACTTTTTTTTGGGTCAATCGATAGGTATTTATGAGAACAATACATTTCAGTTAAAATTTTTATTCGGTTTGGGGGCGGCTTGTGGGCGTTAGAGAGGGCGTGGCACGATGCTGAAACAAACTTGCGCTGCGTAAGAAGCTCAGGAATCTGCCAGCCAAATCTCAATAGCCTAGCTCAGCAATATAAACAAAATGATTTTTGAAAAATTCTTTTTGCAGTTACAATTATTTTAGTTTGAAGAAACTTTTTGCGTCAAAAATTTAAGTTTTCAAGTCGAGGAACAAAGTTTTAAAAGTAGATTTACACAAATTCGTCCTTTTCAATATATACTGAATGGGCTAAGAAATGTATTGTATAATTCAAACGGCATTTAAATAACCTTTCCGTTGATTTTAAAAGTTTAAAAGAAGTAAGTTCAAATTATGAGTATATTTAAAATTTGTTTTGTCAAAATACTTATGCCGACCAGTGTATATCATATTTAATATTACAATTGGCATGTTTAGAGTAAATATGTCTTGTATTAAATCCTAATATGACTTATATTGAATTATAACTTTTCGGTTATTCATGTAACTATTAAAATTTTTGAATGTAATATGGTCTTGTTTATTGTAAACACGAGTACTACTTAATTCAAATTTTAAAAATTTAAAATCAAATAGTCATTGTATTTAATATAAATATGCATTATACTTAATTTAAATATGGCTTATATTTAACTTAAGTATTTAAAATATTAAAATATATTTCGAAAATATTTCAATTTAATATGGAAAAAAAGTTAATATGCGCATATTATATCAGTGTACCAAGCATTTTCTAGAATATTATCCATCCTCCTTTACCATCCTCATTTCTCCCTTCCTAGCATTTTATCATTAATCCTTTATCGTTCCACTTCCCCTCCCGCTTCCCCTTCCCAATACACACGATCGTTGTGTCTAAAGTCTAAATAAGTCTTTATTGATATGTATATTTAAATTTAAATCAGGAGATTTTTTATATTTGTTGGTTGTTCTTTATTAGAACGTTGGAAAAATACTAACTGTACGTTACAGAATTAGTTAGCATGAAACCTCGATTTGCGTCCTAGAATTTACTGTTAGTGCATTAGGTGACGTAATCGCAAATGGATGATGTGATGCCACTTCTTTGTTTATGTTTACATAGTAGGTCTTATTAGATTTTTCGATCTTATTGGATTTTCACGTTTATGGAATTACGTCATTGTTGACGTTCGGAATTAATCAATTTTCTTTGTTTGTTTGCATTGCGGGATCTCAAGCTTCTGTATCGTTTTTAATCAAAGCAGAAACTGGCAATTCTGTTTGTTTGTGAACGGTTTCGTTCTTTGAACTGGTGGTCGTTGAGAAATCGCAGTGCAGATACGTCACTCCCCCGTCACTTATACAAAATCATATGGTTATTTATGTGATTTTGGGGTATAGTTTTGGTATTTCTTGTAACTCTTGTGAGTTTTGTAACTCTTGTGTTTCTATTGTTGGGTCGTCACCTTTTGTGTTATTTTATTTAATAATTATTCTTTTAGGTATTTCTTTAAATTTATGAGTGTTGCAATTACAATTATTTTGTAAATCTGGTTTTCTTTATTTTGTTTAAAAAATATTTCTTTTGCTTGTATGTATGATATTGGGTTAATTTGGTGACATTATTTCTTGTGTACATGCTTTGTGTGTAGTCAGAATTATAATTGCTTATGGATAAATCGTTAATTGCAATTGAGCAATTGTGTATTTTGATCATATTGTTTCCTTTAATTACAATTTTGTAATTAGGTGTTATCTTGTAATATTTTATTATTTTCTGGATAAGATAATATTTCGTATACGGAAAGTTTCTTTATTTTTCTGGGTATGTGGGATATAATTAAAATTTTATTTGAATCTGACCTAAGCCAAGATAAGGTTTTTATGTTCAGAAGTATCTCAGAATTAATGTTTGTCAAGTAGTCGTGTTGTAATAGCTTTGGATTGAATATTCCTAATCTTGCTAACTGCATTCTCATTTCCAGGTCTTCAATGTATTCTGCGAAATGTTATAAATTAAAAGCCAATAATTCAAGAATTTGTTCGTTTTCGTTGTATTCAAGATGCTTGTTATATCGATGCCCTTGTTAACTGTATCGATTATATTATTTAGTTCGTTAGGTAGTGTTTTGAGCTATTACATTGATTTTTTCTTCTAATTCTTCTTTATCATTATTATCTAATGTTCCAAAAAGATATTTGTAAGCCGTTCCTAACAATTTTTAATCTATTCATTTCTCTTTGCAGTTTGTAGTTTCCGTTAAATATTTAATCTGCATTATTTCCTTAAAGCCAAACGCTTGTTATAGAAAGTTTTTGTAAGTTTCATCCGTTTTTGAGGCAATGGTACTCAAAACTATCTGGGATGTTGATTGTGTCGGTCATAAATAACAACAAGTAAGAACGCTCAGTTCTTCTTCAGCTAAAGGGACCAAAGGGAAATGGAGATATGCAAGCAGCAAAGCGAGATTAAAATACACCACCTACCGGCGGTAGACAGATTTAAGCGTTATGGGCGTTAGAGTGGGCGTTGCAAATCAATCGATAGGTATTGACGAGACCAATACATTTCAGTTAAAATTTTGTATCTAGCATGAAAACTGTGGCCGTCACAGGTTTGGAAGGTTTGTGGGCTTTAGAGGGGGCGTGGCAAACTTTTTTTTGGGTCAATCGATAGGTAATGATGAGAACAATACACTTCTGTTAAAATTTTTATTCTAGCATCAAAACTGTAGGAGCCACAGTATTGGGCGGTTGGTGGGCGTTAGAGTGGGCGTGGCACATTGCTGAAACAAACTTGCGCTGCGAAAGAAGCTCAGGAATCTGCACGCCAAATCTCAATAGC